AAATACTTTTAAACGGAATTTTGTATAACACAATTATTATTATTATTTATAACAGAATTTCTATAACGGGGTTTTCTATACCGGAATTTCTTAAATCGTTTTTATTTAGTTAGTATGTTGTTAATGCAATTGATTTGTAATTGCTTGCGCAATGTGCAACTGTTAGGTGTTATAGTTGTTTTCTATATTTATAGCTTCCACGGTATAAAAAAAAATTCCTTTTTGTTACAACTTTGTAGTCAGGTACCTGGTACATTAATATTACTGTCTACAGTAAAAACTACAGTTAAAACTACAGTAAAAACTACAGTAAAAACTACAGTAAAAACTACAGTAAAAATGGGGCAAGATAAAATTGGTGACCCTCACCGAACCAGTACCACCATCTGCTGGTACCCTCGGTGGTGGCACTCTAGGTGGTACCACGGTTGCTATGTTGGTTTCCATATTTATAACTTCCACGATACCAAAAAAAAAACATTAATTTTCCTCTTTGTTACCTTGACAACTTTGTTAAATCCCTGTAGAGTGTAGACAGCTACACCAGCATTACTGAAGATGTCAAAATGGGGCAAGGTAAAAGCAGTGACCCTTACCAAGCCAGTACCATCTGCTGGTACCCTCGGTGGTGGTACTCTAGGTGGTAACGCGGTGGCCAAGACTTTTGCCACAATGTTCAGTCCCTCCGGAATTACTGCCACCATGAAGCAACTTCAGGAGATGAGTAAGTGTTTTGTTCTTTAGATATTGTAATTATATCTTATATTTTGATTATTGTAACTACATTATATTTAGATATTGTAACTATTTTATATTTAACTATTGTAACTATTTAGATATTGTGACTACGATCATTTGGAATTTTGTTATTTTTATAATCTTATACACTCATGATCCTTTTTACTAACCCAAAATTTAACTTGCAGCGCATTGAAAGTTTTACATTTTCGTTATATCAAATTGAGTCATTAAATTGTCACTATTTATTGTTTAAAAACCAATGAATTATCGGACTAACACCGAAAACAATTGCGGAAGAAGTGCTCACATAGACCAATAAAGTGGCTATGAAAAGTCCAAAAGATAGACTGTGATATTGACAATAAAACAAATATTGTTTCTTTGGTCACGATGAACCGGATGAACTGCATAGTATTTTACCGAGTACTAATCGTGGGTCAATGAAGCTCCATCTAAATGATAAATGTAATGATATTATACAAATTTACTGCTGCAATTGTAGATATGTGGGGTTTACAGACTATTAGTATCTTGTAGGTAATCAATAATCACCTACCGTTTTTATAACAGGCGGGTGGCTGTTTATCATCACTGCAGGGTTTTAACAATGCTAAACCGAACCCTCATTTGAACCTCATTTGAACCTCATTTGAACCTCATTATGCATAAAATCATACGAAATGCGCTAAAAGTAGGTCAAAGAGCGTTAAAAGGTACTATACCTCGCTGTATATCTTTATCAGTATCTTCTTTGTAACGGCAATTGATAAAGCCATGGTTTACAGAGTCAAATCGCCCACGTGATAACGCGCACAGAGTCAAATCGCCCACGTGATCACACGCACGTCAAATCGTCTTTAAACTGGTTTAGAGGCTTTACCGGTTGTCGTGGTCAAACGGCTCAGACGGCGTCACGGACATAAACCGTTTCCGGTTTATATAAGGTTCATTTAGTTATTTATCGTACGACATACGGCTTGTGATTCAAAATAAAAATTTGGGTATTTTGGTGCCATTTTTGTTGTGGAGGTAGTCGAGGTTGCAGTGGCGTGACCAGTTTATATTACAAAGAGTTTGTTAATTAGGGAAATCGTCAAGACTGGTTTCTTAAAATTTTAACCGCGGCACAGGGATTAATTCTGAAATTAAACCCAGAAGCATTGTTATTCGATAATTATTACGAATTATTAAATTACCCTCAATCTCAGAACTCACCAGCCACCACCTGTCCTCAGTAATTCGGAGATGTTAAAATATTTCTCTGTAGAAGAACCGGTCAGGATTCGGTCAAGATTCGGTCTGGAACCGGCCAAGAACTGATCTAGAACCGGTCTGGAACCGGTCTAGAACCGGTCTAGAATCGGTCTAGAACCGGTCAAGACGCCGTTGAGACGTTAAAAATGTTTCCTTGTGGAACTGGAAGAGCACTATATTACATACGCTCATTCAAGTGACAAGTCTCTAATTTTTCCAAAGCGAATTCAAAATTTTATTACATAGTGAATTAGGTCTAACAGTAACACCGACCATCTCTCTAACACCGATCAAGAACCGGTCAAGGACCAACCAAGAACCCGTTTAGAATCGTGTATTATCCAGTACTTTCCACATACAAAAGTCGTGTTTTGACACCATGTTATAGCGTATCTGAACTAAATAATTCATATCATCCTAACGTTTGTAACCGTAAATCCTTACACTTTTAAATTGTGATCCTTTATATTCAGCAGATAAGCTTTTAAATTTGCTGGTGGAATTATAAGCCCGTATGATGAGCTGAATATTTCTCAAGAATGATTTAAAGAATTCTTGCCATTCTACCCGTTCTAAACATTACGTGCCCATGATCTGCTACCAAGTATGAAGTATGTTAACTTAATATTTAACGTTATGTCATAGGTAGTATTCCGCGCACTGGGTCGGGCTATTTGGATACTGCCAACGTTAACTGCTTTCTACAGAAAACCAATTTACATGATACTTATAATTACACAATCCTTGTTTCTACTTAGCAGATTTTAGCAAATGTCCGTGGAACATGAGGAGAAGTAATGAGCAATCAGATATCTTCTAAAACTGATCTTTACCTCTTCTTAAACGAGATATTCTGCACAAGTGACGTGTAATACTTGTATAGTTTATACGTCACTGGTTGAACCACATGTTGTTCTTCTGTTACCAAATTCCAAACTTGTTACAAGGATTTTTCAATGATGTTACAATAAATTGTTAACATTATTTTATTGTGCCGGTCACAGTACAGGGTCATGTTTGATATTATCAACCGTGATAATCTCAAACATGTTTTTACTTGCTATTTTAAATTTTAAACCTAAGGGGAGGTGAGTAATGTGCTAATAATTAATTAGTAATTAGATATTAAGGTGAGTAATGTGAGTGCTAAGTTTCAGGAAATTTGCAGCTGTAGTTGTGCATAAATGCAATTATTGGACTATAAGTTGAAGTATGAAGCGTGTTTTTAAGTTCCATGCTAAAAGTGTAGAATAGCGAGGAGTCAGTACTCGGAATAAGCAGATGTTATGATAATTATTCTAATTATGTTAATTATGCTAAGTAGGTTGCACTATTTAGAGCGGTCTATATGCAAAGTAGCACACCCTCAACCCTCGACTTTTACATCACTCGTCATAGCAATCTAACATGCTAAAAAGCAGTGGCTACAAGCATTCAAGTTTGCTAAGTAATAAGTTAATTAGTTCGCCACGTTATGTTAACTTAGTTAAAGATATGCTAATTAAAGGGGCTATATACAGACAAGTACCCTGGACTATCCCCTCCTCTATTCACTGTGGAGAGACTACAGGAGAGAGAGAGAGAGAGAGAGAGAGAGACCTCTCACTGCTTGCACATTACCTTCACAATGGGTAAACTAATTGAGGGAAGCTAGAGGTGCGAACCAGGGTGTGAGCGAGAGAGAGAGAGAGAGAGGGGAGGGTGTAATGAGGGATTGTCAAGGGTATTGTCACCCTGGGTCCTTGTAGTATAGATATGAGGTTAGTATTATATGTAGGGGCCTGTGTGTCTTATCGTGCTCCATCCTGCATCTCTCTAGGTTACTTTCTTTTGTCAGGGTCACAACCTGGTGGTGTTGAAACTTTATTAACGTTCGAATCATCGTAATGAATTATACGCTCTGTTGACTTTACCAAGGTATAAGTATAAAAGTTGGGACCCAACATCATGTACCCGGTATGTCCCGAAATAGATCAGACCTTGATTGTTATTGACCACGATTGTTATAGGTGAACTATACTGTTCTTGTAGTAACACTGGTAGTAGTAGTAGTAGTAGTAGTAGTAGTAGTATTAGTAGTAGTTGTTGTAGTAGTAGTAGTAGAAGTAATAGTAGTAGTAGTAGTAGTAGTAGTAGTAGTAGTAGTAGTAGTAGTAGTAGTAGTAGTAGTAGTATTAGTAGTAGTTGTTGTAGTAGTAGTAGTAGTAGTAGTAGTAGTAGTAGTAGTAGTAGTAGTAGTAGTAGTAGTAGTAATATCCACCATCTGCTGCCGATACAAGCTCGGCTTACTACTTGCAGCTTGTCTAGTGTGTACGTGTGTCAGTGTGTCAGTGTGTCAGTGTGTATAATAATACCCTGAATAGCACAGAACACAGAGCACTGAACATTCAAGATGAGTATTAGAATGATGCTGCGCTGCTTGATTTTGTACCGTTTGTGTACCGTTTTTGTACCGTTTGTGTACCGTTTGTGAACCGTTTTTGTACCGTCTGTGTACCGTTTGTGTACCGTCTTGTTGTACGTGTGCACAATACCCTGAACAAAACTGTCACAGAGCACTGCTCTCTGAACAATATGAGTATCAATACTGTCCTGCTCCATGCTGCTTGATTATGTTTTAGATATCTGCTTGTTTGATTGTTTTATCGCGGAGAGTTCAGTGGGATTATTTTTGTGCGACTTGTAAAACTTGTGGGAGAGTTTTGAGTACCTACCAGTTCTGAGATTGTGACTTACACAATGATCTTATTCAGATTTAGAGTGTTCGATTATCTGATAATATTGAAGCTTCTTTACAAACTGCGTAAAAAAAGTGGGAAAGTTTTGAGTACCAGTTGTTAGACAGTGGTCTGATTCTGATTCAGAATTTGTTGTTATATTTGGCTTACGGTGTGTTTAGCTTAAGAGAGTATAGAATCACACTCTGTTTAGACATCTTGAAGCTTCTTTGCAAACTGGATTTTAATTTCAAGGCAGTGAATTGGCTATGGAAAAAGTATATAATTTTCAGTTTTAACAGCAGGGAAATGTCAAGCAGCACGCCACTTCTCACCCGACGCTGTGAAGAGACCTTAACAAACAGCCAACTAGAACTAAAGGACTCGTCAGTTACCCCAGAACAGTCAGCCCTCCCCTGGAGCACCCACAAGAGGATGCAGCCTAAAGAGGAACAGTCAGCCCTCCCCTGGAGCACCCACAAGAGGATCCAGCCTAAACGAACAGGAGAAGGAGGGAAACAGTTACCAAAGCCAGGTGTACGGAAGAGCCGATGCGAACTTCCACATAACCAGGCTAAATTTGCTCTGGAGTCATCTCAACCTTCACACCTAGGGGCATCAACCTTTGGGAATTCAACTGTCGTAAACATGAATGATTGTACTATCGAAATGAAGAAATCTTCACCTCGCATAAGGACATCCGCTACTGAGATGGTAGGGATGGGAACACCTTACCCACCACCCTCCGCTGAAAGCCAAGGTGTTATAGTGAGTCCTCCGCAGGACATTCCCTCACCAACCCTGGAACTTGTGAGATCCGACACTCCCGTTCACACTTCTGACGGTCCTGGTTCCAACAATTCAGCTCCAACTATCAAGGTGATCGCTGAGGAGACTCCACAGCCAAACGGTCCACCAAAGATAATCGTATCAAAAGATGTTTCTAAGCCAAAAAGAGTTTCGGTTGTTGAAGAGCCGTCAAGAAACACTGCTTCAGCTGAGCCACCAAGGTCTAGAAGAATATCAGTTCCAGCTGGCCACAGATCCAAAAGAATGTCCGTCACAGAGAGAAAAGGTTCAATGACAGAAGGATCCAAGAGAGCTGTCAGCGCCGAGAACCATACCAAAGAGACTATAACACCTGAAGCCAAACGAGCAGCCGAACTTTGGAAGTCTCGAATTTCTAAGAAGAAAGTTTCAGTGATCGAAGAGTCCGAAAAGACCTTAACTGTAGAAAAGCAGCCCAGGGAGGGTCTAACACCAGAAACTCAACGAGCAGCCGAACACTGGAAGTCCAGAACATCACACTCCAAAAAGTCCGCAAGTGCCGAATACTACGCCCGGGCGGGCGTGACTCCGGAAACTCAACGTGCAGCCGAGGTTTGGAGGTCCAGGACATCAGGTCACAGGGGTGGTAAACCTATGCACGTGTCATTTGGGGACCTGGCCATGGATTACCAGGGGGATCAGAAGGGGATGAGCGAACACAAGAGGAGACATAATCTTCATCCACTGGCAAGGTTTAGGTCCCTGGCCATCACCACCAACAACCGGGCTAGAAGTGAGTTTTACTTTACATTTTTTGAATATTCTAAAAAATAGGTTTTAATTTTTGTTATATTATATTGGTTTAATGACCCTGTTAGCACTTAATCCAGTGCTGCAAATAATTACCATTATATGAACACACGCCACATTTAAGCGTTAGATCACAGGAGGTATTGAGTTTACAAAGTAAATCAAAATACACAAAGTCGTGTCGACGGTATCGACAAGTCATTTGTTATCATAAGTTTACGTTTACAAAGTGAATCCGCTCAGTCACCGAGCTGAAATGTGAAAGAGTGCTGAAAAGGCACGATTCTGTGGGCCACTTGTTCACTCCGTTAAACTGACACAGTGACACTATAAGCGACGCGACATTAATTTGACACTAATGTGACACGCGACACTATAAGCGAAACGCGCGATTAATTTTGCTTCACACGTGTCTTGGACCTGTCATTGCTGTGTCAAGGAATAATATAACACGGCTGCAGCTAAACACTTCAAGATTATTATTGTTTTTACCGTTTACAGCAGTTCGATAGACCACTCAGTAGATATTACCCAGGGGTGCCCCCCTCCCCCCCCCCCGCTTCATATACCGCATCATCTGTTATAGTGTTATTATATCCATCTTCATGATGAATGATCGTTTAATCTTTCATGGTCGAAATCGTCAAGAAAATTACTCGAAAGGACAGTTGGTCCACCTTATCAACAGCATTCTTAGGTCAGATAAATATAAGGGCAACGTGGCGGGTGAACTGTTATCAACTGATATTTGGGAGAATTAACGAGACTACTAATTAAAACGCTTGGAATAAAAGGTGTTAATAAAGTAATAAGCAAATAACAACTACTCTACAGACTCTACAACTCTAGAAACTCTCGCAGTGCTTGTTATCTTAATTTTTCAAGTACAGAAACCCAGTTTACGAAATGCCAGTATCTACTTGAAGTTATTAGTTACCCAAACCTATAATCCTCTTATGAAACCAGATATTTTGCGTGGTCTATTCCTGTACGATTTACTGATTGGACTGAGCTGTGTTTCTGTTTTTGTTTCCAAACTTGATCCAATGATTTGATGATATTCTTGTATCGACATATTAGTAGTAGTAGAATCGGTAGTAGTAGAATCGGTCACTTGGTTGGTAATATCGGCCTAAACAAGTGTGTCAGAGGACATAGCAGCAGTTTTATAGGATATTCGATGGTAATCGCATAATCTATGATAGCAACTTTTCATTTTTCTTGGCGAATGCTCATTTGATATCTACTGGACGATATAAAATTTTGTAGTGTGATCGCGGCCTTGATAAAATCTTCAAAAATATTTTCTATCAAAACCTTTACTGTCGTCAACATAGACGTTTAAATTTTAAGAAAGAGTTAACGACAATTATAATCGCCGACCAACGTCAGCCTTGGTATTTGTCTACTGTCAATCTGGTCACATGACATGTCAACATCTTGAAGACAAGCTAAAAGTCTAGCGATTGCCGCAATTGCTGACCATTGTTCTTAATGTCAACACGTTTACGAAAAAACAATGATATTTTAGATATGCTATATCCAAAATCAGACTTATCAACAGCTTCAACATAGTCTCCTCCGTAACACATGTCGCTTAATTCTAACTTATCAACAAGATCTCGGGGTTTTGTGAGGTGATTTAAAAAATGAACGCTCACCTTACCGGGAACCATATACATAATTCTTCCCCCTCATTGCCACCCACATGGTACACATAAATTATTCACGGACACAGTTTAATTTTATAACCATACGTGCCGGACAAATAATTAACAAGCGAGGAAGCTATACGAACCAACAATGTAGGTTAATATACGAGTAACCAGATTATATACACATGCAACTTGGATTAAACCTCCAGATAAGTACAAGGATAGAATTATGTGTGGTCCAATGGGTGGCCGTTAGGGGCAATAGCCGACCAATGGCCGGGGGAATAGCCTGCCACGCGGGCAATAGCCGACCAATGGCCAGCAGTTTAACCTGCCACGCAGGCAATTGCCCATTAGGCTCTAATAAAGTTCCTGCGCCCTTACTCACAAGGTTGTGTATTAGAGTGGGTTACAGTTTGTTAGTTTTAGTTAGAGCGCAGGTTCTGAGTATAGGTTTTATGGTTATTTTGAGGTGGTTATGCTAATTGGTTATGCTAATTGGTTAAGCTAATTGTTCAGCTTATTGTCCAGCTAATTGATCAGTTTAAGATCATTTGCATCTAAAGTTACAGTAAACCATTAGTATTATAGGTTTACTTGTAGTTCCACTTGTTTAATAAGTTAATGCGTATCCGTATTGAGGCTAGTAGTGGTAGTTTAGAGTTGTGTAATTGTATAATGGCTTGGTTTTTAAGAGTGAAATATAGGTTACTTCATGGTTACACTTCTTCTTAAACTTCAAATGTAGTGGTTTGATACATTTTCTGTTTTGCTTGTTTCTTCCTTCCAAGTTCCAGTACTCTACCAAACCATAATGAATGATTTGGCTAATCACACAAAAGAAGAACACACCCTCTTTGTTGTTCTTGAGTCTCCAAATCAGCTTCGCAACAATTAACATTTGCTTCAAACCCGTCTCACAGGTCCTTGCAGTACTCAATATATAGACCACCCAATATATAGACCACTTAACTCAATATATAGACCACCCAATATATAGACCACCCAGTATATAGACCACCCAATATATAGACCACCTAACTCAATATATAGACCACCCAATATATAGACCACCCAATATATAGACCACCCAATATATAGACCGCCTAACTCAATATATAGACCACCCAATATATAGACCACCCAACAAAACACACCACCTCTATATATTGACAATTCAACTACATAGCCACTCAGAACAAAGCTGTAATAACGATTATATTCATGTGTGTTGTAGGGGGATCATTTGGGGGCTGTTATAGTGAATAAGGATCAGATCATGGTAGGACACGACATACCCAGACTGGTGGTGATATAACACGTGAAGTGACGTCATACCACGTGACATGACGTCATACCACGTGATATGACGTCATACCACTGATGCCGTGTCATGCCACATGACGTCACATGGAAATGGTCCAGGCCTCATGATATATGTATATACACCGATACGTCCCTCTCCAAGTCCTCCAATTCTTCCTCTATAATGAAGCTGATGAAAATTGGGGGTCATTAGACCGCGGTAACAAAGGATAAGAAGACTAATTCACGGGCCGACAAGTGGCTGTCCTCAAATCTATCACGCCCTTTCTTCGGGCATGATGCTCCTTCGCGAGTAGTGGGTATCTTGGGATGTTTCATGATGATTTGTGTTTCACTATAGGGGTTGGTGATATATTTTAGGATTATTGAACCGATGTTAAGCTGTTTTAATTTTGTAGCCTGAGTTTGGTCATAATTGTCGGGCATAAAACTTGACAGATAGGTCGTAGTAACTCGCAAGGCTTGTTCTAGTAATTGCATATTTTTTGGAATGTAGAAATTTTTTGTCTTTTAATGTTTTGAAACCTCAACCACTTTCGAATTCGTAAACTACTTTTGCATTTTTCACGAAATTGTTAGAAGGAAGTACTGGCGTACTGAAAAAGAATGCAAAGAATATTCTATTTTTCTGATTTTTAAAATTTTTTTACACCTTTTCCCACCTTTTTTGCTGGCGCCGAACTGTGTGGCACTTCAAGTTAAACAACACATTTAAAAAGCTTGTTGACAACTTTTACGAAATCATCCAAGAAACCTTAAAGATAGAAAATTATTGGTCGAAAGATTAATTTTCAACACCTTGGACTATACAAATCGATTCGAGCATACAATTCTTTTCTCACAGCCGAAAATAGTTTGCTAGTATCTGGCGCCGTTATTTCTGTTGATCATGTATACCGTATTCTCCCCATTATCAAGTAGCGCATAAGTATTGAATATTTAAAAAACAAGACCACAGTCGTTCTCTCAGGATCATACAAGTAGCAGATCTTCCAAATCATGGCCGCGGCATTTTATCTTCATCTCTAATAAGGCACCATGCATGCCTGATGTAATGCCGCAAGGTCAGTCGGTCAGTCAGTAAGAACAGTTAGCGATAAATGTCAACAATAAAAGAGCATTTAAGTATTTTGTTTTGAGGCTGCAAGGCTTCATTACTCTATTCCTGCATGTCGCCTGTAAAAGAGCAGATTAATAACATACAATCTGACATGAGTAACCACTTTATTTGCTGCAACTGTTCGGGCGGTTGTGATATTGTAGAACAGTTCTGTTGTTGCGACTTGGTTAGCACTTGTTTAGCACTTGGTTACACCTGGTTACACCTGGTTACACCTGGTTACACCTGGTTACACCTGGTTACACCTGGTTACACCTGGTTACACCTGGTTACACACACTCACACCATTCTCAACATGACCCAATACCACGATCAGCTACAACCCTTACTAGAAACCCACCACACGCAGAACCAAGTACCCCACATGCAGAACAACAACATCAGCAGAAACAACAACAGCAGCAGCAACATCAGCAGCAGCAGCAGCAGCAGCAGCAGCAGCAGCAGCACACTCTTAAGCTCCCGGATCCTAGAGTACAAGTACAACTAGACCCGGGGAGTCCCAGACCAGTGTCCCGTACAAACGGACTCACCACCAGCCCGCTAACCTCCCGAGTAGTCCCCGCCTCAAAACCGCCAGTTAGTCCGGCATCTGGGAGAACCAGTAGGGACTCTCCCAGACGGCTCACCCCACAGGACGCACTGTTCAACTCGCTGGTGAGAGGCCAGTGTCCAAGGTCACCAAGTTCGAGTCCCAGTCACAGGTCACCGAGTGTGCCGCCCACGGAGGAGGGGACAGGAGATGGGGCTATTGATGTTAACCGATACAGATCTATTGTTCATGGTAATTGATTTAGTGTTTTTCTTTATCCCTCATATCTATAAATATCAAAAATAATCATTTTGCTTGAAGTTGATTTTGATATTGGTGTATTCTATTATGTTTGTTTCAAGTGCATGTTTGCAGATAGTACTTTAAGTTTTCTTCCACCGACTGTTCACTGTACTAATAAAAATGCGGTCGGAGTATTCGCGAAAGTAAAATTAATAATATGATTTAAAAAGTTTAATATAATTTGATGCCGGATATATACATGATTGCATGCTGCACTATAAATTCGCGCACCAAATTTTCAATAATATTAATAATAATATGCACACTTGAAACGAACACCGCTCGAAGAAATATTATAAACTTATAAAACACACTTTAAAAATCAATATAATCTAATTTTAAAATATTGTATGATTATAATCTATATAAAAGTCTTAAAAATCGAAAGTACATTATTTCCTTCTTGAAGAGCCAACTTTTGTCAAGCTAGCTACAATCGAGCAAGTTTGTCTGATAATTTATTTTCATAACAGTTTTGCTGGAATACTTGTTACTATAGTTACTACTAGTTTAGTTACTAAGAAGTTACTAAGTAGTTACTAGCAGAGAAGCCTTGTCAACTCACTATCTTCATAATGTCTAACCAAGAACAACTACAACCTTTATTAAACCAAAACGAACCCCAAAACGAACCCACCCAAAAACAACAAGACACTCTCAAGCTCCCAGAATCTAGCACACAAATACAAGTACATTTAGGAAGTCCCATACACCTGTCCCGTTCAAACAGACCCTGCATCAATAGCCCACTTCCTGCCAACCAGCACCCTTCTAGTCAACCACCCTCTAGAGTTCCCTACCCCGCTTCTTACCCTCACTCTACAAGTCCTCTGCCGGGATCCAGGACTACAAGCAGATCTAGTTCCAGACAGCTTACATCGCTCAAAGAGGAGGGAGTTGAGGCCGGGGTCATTGATGTTAACCAGTACAGATCAGTCGTTCATAGTAATTGATTTATTGTTTATCTTGTTTATGATATACATCATCATATATGATATACATACGATGTCAGTTTGATATCACCTTTTTCGTTATATTTTGATTAATTACATGCTCCCTTAAGTTTGTTTGTATTGCGAAAACACTAGTCTTGCTGGTTTTACTGAAACCGAACCGAAAATGGAGATGGGTATTCGTACAAATCCAATTATAGATCTGAAAAGTTTAATGATTATGCCGGATATCATTTTACATGATTATTTTGTGTCGTTAGTCGCGCACCAAATTCTTCATCGCGTAATATACATCATGAATCGAACTCAGCTTGAGTACATCAGTCAACACAGGGAGAAAAATATTATTATTCTCAATTGAGAAAATTTAATCCATCCAAATTTCAAATATATCTATAGTCTCTGTAGACTAAATGAAAACAGCGTTGGGTTCGACCGCGAATATATTTATTCACAAGTGAGATTAGTTCTCAGAGTTGTATTCGTACATACAACATAACAGGGAACTACTAAAATTCCGTTGTTCCCAAGTACAAACATTAAAATCGGACCCATGTCCCATGTCCTACATATATAATAGGGCAAATATAATTATGAACTTATTCATGATTCAATTTAGTTCGCTTTCAGATTTATCCTTCATCGGATCATATCTTAATTCTAATTAATTCCATGTAACACTAACAGTTCATCTATTTTTTATTTAATTCCCCACAATTCTCACTAAAATCAGCTAATTTCAGGATCCCGCCGGTCACGGAACAGTGTTTACTCCATCGACCCCTCTCTATTGGAACGACCTGGTACGTTTTGTCAGTTTTATCGGTTGTTTTTATGTCTGGTGTTACTCAAAAGATTATTACTACCTTATCGGTTGCAATTCAAGAAACCACTTAAAACATTGCCTCGCATATTTAAATGTAAAATTGGTAACAGTATCTCTGATCTGTTTTTTATGTAGAAATTGTTAAAATGACTGCAGGAATTGAAATAATTGACGAATAATGGAATTTCTGGTGATTTTAAAGCGTGGACACTAATATAACTGCCCATTATGTTAAACTTGATCAGTTCGATAGTTAAAATCGAACCGTTTTAATTTCAACCACTAAGCTAGAAATATGCGCTTTGAGTTTGTCTATATTTTACGGTTTTGGTACGTGATTTGTGTTTTGTTTTGTCAGGTTTATGTCTGTTTCGTATTTATCTGTTTTTATCGTACATTACTTACAGACATGCCGACAAAGACACTATAAATTTACAGAATAACTCAATAACTTAGCTTTTTTAAATCTTATTTAGAATCATGGTAATCAAATTTTTGTCATATTTGTTGGTAGAGTGATTACACATTGTTATCCAAAAAATATGTAGAATAAATCTATACAAATACAAAATTTACTTCGCAATAACAAAAGATCTCACATGCAGTGGAGTATCAAGACTATTTGCATCCAACTTAATAAATTGCTATAAACGATCGATCGTGGCAGCGCGTGTTTCGAATTTTTCATTCCACCTCCGGAGGCTTTTAAAACGGTTTGGAACTTTGACAGTCATCATGATGAATCAATAAGATAACCTTTTCATTTTTGCGTTCTTTCTCAGCTGATCAGTTTCGAATTTCGACATCACTTTCATTTTTATGGTGGCATTCACGTTGGGAGTGAAGATTCTTTTACTTGTATCTTTGCTCGCTTCGTTCGAAGACTGAAACCCCTGAAAAGTAAAATGTGTGATTATCTGGGTAGCTGGCACTGTTTTCCCCACTATGTAGGACCCTCCTCCCCATTAATCTGTAGAGAACTACACAGCCAAACAACCAGAAGTAATCAAGTAAATTAAACAATCATGCACTTTAATATAATCCCCGAACCACAAACACAATAAACCCACATACCTAGCATGCTCCCCGAGCCTGTGCCGAGCGGCGAACTTTACCAAATGTCGGACATTAGGAGCTATAAGGGCGATTAGGAAGGCACATAGTACCATGACTATACCAGGGTATAGAGCCCAGTTTACTCCTTCCTGAAGGATATAATCGTATTATTTATAATTATAAAAGTTAGTATGATTATATTATTTATTCATATAATTTATGTTTACTGTCTGTAATTTTGAAATTTGAAGTAAGATTAGGACAAGAAGAAACGCGGTTATTGAGTAATTTTGCAATTTTAACTTCAAAGAATCTTTGACCAGATCAGATGTTATTTGAAAGCCGACCACTTCAAACGAAAACCATAAGAATATTTCGCCCTCAAAATAACATTTCCTAGCGAATTCCTAGCGTAAGAAAGTTTAAAATACATTTTTGTAGTAAATTCACTGACCTGGGACCCGACGGCGGCCATGGGACACCCAATCAGAATAAGTAGAGCACACAAAGTTGCATAGTACGTGTTTTTACAACATTCCCAACAAGATCTCATCTTCATTTCCCTTGTTTTCTCTCCATCTTCGCATCCTGATGTTATTATGGCAACTCTATCCTTTAGCTCTGTCTGATGGGGTACGAGATTAGATTGTGAGCGATCAGTAGTCAATGACTAGACAGGGTTATTGAAAATTACAAAGAATAAAATGGCGTCTGGACTCTGGACTTGGGACCAGTTCATAGTACATTTCATTAATGCCCTCTGAAAACCATTCTGCTAGCTCAAATTATTTGTTATATAGTAGTGTTGAAAGTATTAAAACTAGTAAGTAGTAGTAATACTAGTAAGTAGTAGTAATAGGAATATACAAAGCGATGTAATACGAATATAAGATATCTCTTTACGTTCTCATTATAGTATCTGAATAACCAAATTAAAAGGTGAACTAAGTTTAAAAAAGGTTTAGAACTTGTCATTTATAAGTAATTAATTAAGTTATTAATTAAGTTATTGAAACCTCATGAAGTGTAGCCAAATGTGTTGACGATTGTGACGAAATGCTGGTTGAGGAGGAGGAGGAGGGGCCACTACTGATTATGTCATCTTTAGCGCCTGAAAATACTTTCTTTAATAATAAATTAAAATTTAATAACTCTACTTTTAAGATAAAACTTATACTCAGCAGTGTTTAAACTAGTCATCCCAGAAAATAAATTGAATAACTATAGGTAAGGAAAGGTAGCTTAAGCTTGAAAATTTTTGTTTAAACTGAACTTTTAATTAAACTTTAACTAACAGTTAATATTTCAATATCTCGACATGCTGTAGCTTACAACTTTATATTTTTACTCTCACGACATAGAAACAAGGATGTAACGGTAGCTGTACGAATGGCATATCTATAGCTTTTCTCTTCTAAAAATATTTCCGAAGGCTAGACAAAACTCATGTTTCGCTTGTTTAACAGGCCTATAAATACGCAGCTTTCATACACGTTACATTTCCCTCTGCGCGCTGAAAATGATATGCAACTTGTAGCAAATACAGGCCGTATATCGGACTGAATGTATAAAAACAATAATGTTTTATTATTGATTAACCTTCCCTCTCGCAATCGTGCGGATCAAGATAGTCCTTCATAAAACACACAGCCTTATGAAAGTTACAAATTAAGCTTATCGGTACGTGCCGTCAGCAGTAAATTGAAAAAATTAATGAAGGAATATAAAATATTAGAAATATGAGTTTTAAATCGTATCGCCTATCGGCGTTGACAGTTCGCGTGAGCTTATAATAAACAGCATTTATAACTTATAGGAAGGTGTGAAGGAGGTAATCACTCGTGTCATTAGGTAGTAATCGAAAAATATTTAGTTTCTCGGATTTAGCAATTTTTGGTATCATTGTATGAATCTAGCAATGCTGATCGATCAGCACACACGGCCATAACTCTTGGAAAATTTGGATTATTGAGATAACCACCTAGTGCCAGCAGAATTCGTGTAATAATACCCGATGCCATTGCTGTGCAAATCGCATAATCAAGTATCAGTCATCGCCAAGTTATGATCATTTTTCTTTGACAAACATTAACTGAGTATTGACAGAATTCTCATCAAAGAAAAAAAATCAACTCTAATGATGATGTTGGTTTGTTGTTAACCACCTGTACTGAAATTTGAAATACTTCAAACACAAGGTCCTAAGGAAATATTTTATCAGAAAATTCACCTGAAGGTAGGGGGTCTATAATGTAGCCAGCAGTGTTGAGTATTGTATCCCTGTTGCTTGTCAGATGCGTGTTGTTGATTCCCTCCAAGTCAACTTTGCAATCATAGCTCATTATATCGGTACTTTAATCGCATTTCTGTGGTTGTGACACGGTTAACAATAATGAGAAATAAGTTGGTTTAGGGTATGTTTCTACGACCTTAAATCAACGCAAAGATGTGACAAAATCTAAAGTATACACTATACAACAAAGTATGCAATGAAATAATCACAGCATATAGACAGAGTTAAGCCCGTTAGTTTAGAAAAGGACCTAGCATACTTGACCGTCTATAGCATAACAGAAGCAACAAGCACAATTCTATCTGTGCGAGATCAAACAGGCAGCTCCAACAGTCATTGATGCTACACTACAAGCTATATAATGTACAAATGCCAGAGTTACAACGGATTGTAGCTAATGATAAATATAGAGTCCAAAGAAGGGCTGCAAGTTGAGTGAGATCAAGCAGCAGAAACCCAACGGTCACCAGTACTTATATACTACAGAGTTACGGATTGTAGATTGTTGTAAATTATAAATATAAAGTCCAAAGAAGGACCGCAAGTTTAACTGGTCGCTTAAGCTAAACTCTTTAATTGCTAACGGCTTCACATCCCAGACTTTTATTGATCCGCAACTCAGTCAGGAAGGATCGTAGCAACCCTATACAACCGGGGATTTATAATGCGATAAATTGAGGCTTAGACAGAGAAACATCGCATTCCAACCATCAAAATCAAACGGAAATGCATACCAATGATTAAGGTAGACAAATAGACAAATACACAAATAAACACATGGTGACTCGCTTAAACAGTAACGTAGTTGGCATTTGAGAGCGAGCGATAGTCGGGGAATAAGGTAATTACCGACAGATTCAGACTGAGGATACTAATTAGTGGTAATTAGTATTTGCTAAATGCAGTTTGTAATCACGCTGTGCAACAGTTGTCCTGTTAACTTAATGTGTTCTGTAAATTTCAGCACATGTTGGAATTAGGTCGAATTAGGGAATTATGAAGGGAGGGAGAAAAATTATCGATTTACCGCGTCAGAAAGATTGCATGAAAAATTAGACAAGAATGGAATTAGTGCATTGGAATCAGGCATAAACGACCAGAGTGAACACCGCATTTTGTTAATCGTAGTATATTAAAAAGTAAAAGCGTTTCGTTGTACATGTACCACAGAAAATGCAAATAAAAGTTGAACGATCATTTTCCAGACACTGCTACGAAAATTCAAACCATGAATGAATCGTGTAGATGAAACAATAGACTTGACCAGAGTGATTATACGCAAATCACGTTTTTAAACCGCTAGATATCAGTCAGTGTTAGAATTAGATCAATCAGTGCAGAATGCCCCAAATATTGCCCAGACCTGACCTGTGAACCTCAAATATTTATTTTCGTACTATACTAATACATGCAATGTCCGGATAGGAGAATTTTAAATGATTTAGTGACATTGAAACGTTCTTCAATTACCTTTACCTAAGGAAGAGCATTTTCCCTTTACCGCAATACACGGAATCATAATGATAATTTTCCGATACGAGATTGGGGACGGGTTCTATAAACAAACAAACAAACAAACATACACGGAATCATCAGAAATTTTCATCATAAGCATATTGATATACTACTACGATAATATTTAACAGCACAGCTAACAAGAAGAAGTGCAGAGGCATATTTTCTTGATATACCTAACAGCAATTAACCGATCATCGTCCACTATCGAACAATCAAAACCCAGAATCACTGTCACGTGTCAAAACATCTATAATAAACCTAAAATATTTATCTCTTTACTATACTACTTATTTCTTTACTATACTACTGAGAAGAATCTTGAAGATAAAGTGGTTCTTCCATGTCTCCAATGAAGAAGTTCTCAGCCGTGCTGGAATTAAGTCTATCGAAACTTTCATCGGTGCGGCTAGACTAAGGTGGTACGGACATGTTGTCAGAATGCCAGAGACGCGGTTTCCCAATTTCTTATTGGATTGGAAACCAAACTATGGAAAGAGACTGAGAAGACGACCCCGCAAAGGCTGGATGGCCTATGTACTCGAGGATGGGGCTGAATTTACAGGTGTCGATAAAATCAGCAGAGATGCAGTAAAACAGTTGGCTCTAAAGCGAGTGGAATGGAGGAACATGTTACGCCGTAGAAGAGATGTGTGTGATGCAGGCCACTCAACGACTAGGAGGAGACCTCTTCATGTAGCATGTATGTATATACTACTCCGATAAGACAGCACAACTAACAAGAATTATACACGATTACAATGTTAACTGACAGCAGCTGTTATACACACCAACCGAGAAACTAACTCTCTGCATGCTTCTCTGTGTGTGCATTACAAGTTGATCCGTAATAGGTACTTCCTGCTAAGAATAAGAATATCCAATGGATATTATTCGTTGGATATTATCCGTTGGTTACTCATATCCGACAACACTGGGATTGACACTTAATGTCGAGTTCCGGGCTTAAAATTACTTGACTCGTGGCAGTGCTTTTTAAATCACTGAACGTTTGCACGTGCGTTTTAAATTACTTAACGCGTGCACGTGCGACTATAGGATACCGACTGTTGCACTTGATAGATGGATCGTTTAAAACTATAGCTGTATGGCAAGCAACACTGGATACATGTTGAAAGATATAAATAGATGTATAAACTGAAAGAATTGCTTAATCAAGTAAGTATTACCCGGTTTAATCTGCATCATCTGCAGATGTCTGATGTAACTATAAATTTAATAAAACCCATTTTTAATTTCCTGTTAAAATTCACGGGAATGTGTGAGATGGTTATACAGAGATATATACACTCAAACATTTCACCAAATGGAAAGGTCCGTTTCAGTGAATTTTAACAGGAAATTAAAAATGGATGAATTATCCTATTGAATATAATAATTCAGAAAAAGCGACGTTTAGATTTAACCTAACTCAACCATAAACAAGCATAATTTAATATATTAAAATAACGTTCAATAAAATATAAACACCCAGATATGAGTAAGCACGCAGATAAATAACATAGTTTTAAACTAATTACAACACTACAAATCTATTATATTTATTGAGAATTATGTAATCTAACGTGATGGAAATATTTTAAACGGGCATATCTTGTCTAAACCAAGGATGCACTAAATGAAGAATGCGTTGTAACTTTGTTTGAAAAGCATTAATAGATCACATTAAAGTGTTATAACTTAAGCCACTTAAGTTAAATTGAAACCACTAACAACAACAGGCACGTGCTATATAACCGGGCACCAAACAATTAATTTAATTAACCCAACTTCAGAATATGAGTATGACGTAGAAATGTCGATACTTGATTTATCTATTTACCTTCATTAGAAGATTGTAATCACTGACTCTAATCAGAAAAAATCATATCAAATTTTCTCGAAATAATGGACACCATTATTCTCTTCTTTTACACAATTAATGTGTAAAAGAAGAGAATAAGAAACACAATTAATGTGTAAAAGGTTGAAGTGCAGTCCGGACAATGTATAAAATGAAACTGCTAACAAAAGAAAATTACCTTAGTGTTACCCAATATAAGGTTACCCAACAATGTTAGCTCAAAGAAAAATAGTCACAGTCAGAACACGATTATGTCTCCTCTGGTTTCAATTGTACTTTCTAGGTAAAATATTATACAAGCCTAGATCCTAGCATTAGGGAAACGTTGTGTTAAGTCACTAATTAGGTTCTCGTAATCAAATACAAAGTCGAGAAATAGAAACTTAACTAAAACTTACCCAACAGTGTAAAAAAGGAAATTTCTAACAAAAGAAACTTAACGTATCCAACAATAGGTACACCTTGTAACACCATGTTGTATGTCTATAAGCGGGATAATATGGTAACTTTATAGACGCTGATAAGCAAAATGTCTAGAATTATATTATAAAGCAAAATGTATAGAATTATATTATACAGAGAGGGGTGAGGAACACGTGGGGTGTGCAGGGGAGAATAATAGAGAGTTGGAAGTACCCATTAGTTACAAGCTTAAACTATGCATTATGTAGCTTAAACTATATATCTTGTAGCTTAAACTATACTTTATGTAGCTTAAACTATACATTATGTAGCTATTACTTATATGCTTAATCTACACATTTTACGTGTATATACCCATAAATTATGATATACACTTTGCAGTTATATAGCCGGTCGAGAGGGTGGTAAGGATATTTCTGAAGATATTTTCTTCCATTACTCTCTTCCTCAACCTAATTTGTTTTTCTTCACGACGAATCAAGAACTGTTGTAAAATGAAAGTCACGGAGGATTTAGACTCCACAAAGCATCTGAGATACAACCTAGTTTTTGTCAAATATAACCAATTAAAACAAGCGAAACTGTACATGGAATTCAACATACAACAATATGAAATTCAGGCCTAATGAATCTAGTCACGTAATTTATCACTAATCATAAAAAATTAAATGTTTAATTCAATAACTTGCAGCGTTGAACACCACGTCTAGTAAAAATGTTTCAACACAGCCTGCAGAATTACACGAACACACTAATATCCGTCCGGTTTATAACGGTCATTAACTCAACAAAACTGAACAAAACTGAACAAAACCGAACAAGACTAACCAAAACTGAACAAAACTGAACAAAACTGAACAAAACTGAACAAAACTGAACAAAATTGAACAAAACTGAACAAGACAACAATGAAAATATAACAATTGTTGGTTCCCAAACACTACAAAGAAAAGACTAGTGACAAGAGAAACAACCAGAAATCGTACAAAGAAAAGACTAGTGACAAAGGAAAGAAGCGAGTTGTAATGTTATATGCACATTTACCCTACCCCGTAACATATTGATATAGTGCGATCAGTAGCTACGTGCATGACGCACCCACGAGTACACGAGCGCTGCTAAATTACACTTGTGATGAGAGCTTATTTCATGTATTTGCTGTGAGGGAAGAGTGTGTTGGATCAGGGTATCCCGGAAATAGGGGATTATCTGTTATATCCCGCGACTAAACTAAATACATCTGATCAGTCGGATACCAGTAAGGTTACTAAGG